GTACGTGTTTTCACAGAAATCAGCGATAATGTTGAAAATTCATGTTTTTTGTATAATATGGTTTGTGTAGTTAAAAAAAATGCGAAATCTTAATGTGCAATGAAAGCAATTATACAAAAAATATCTCGCTAAATTGATATAGTCTTTACTTAGAGTTAGAATTACCAATTGATTTCATATTTTCTCATCATAGAGGAAAAATGCTGAAAATATCGGATATTTGTCATTACACAGTATACGATCGTTGAAAACGCAAAAATACCAGTTTTTGTAGAAAAAATTATTCAGAATATGTGTTTCTAGATCTGCTTAATTTATATTTAAAGTCAAAATTTGCTTTCGGTAAACCTAGACTTATGACTAGATTATTTACTTTTATCTGTGAGTATGAACTCATATATCGAAGTACTCGTTTATTTAGTATATCTATAAAATGGATCATGTGCAGCTGATAAAACTGGACTTCTTCTTTAGAAGAACAATTTTCGCTCTTGTTACGCAACGCTACTCCATTTTTTGACTCATTTAATGATTTGGCAAATTTCGTATAATAGAATGATTTCTTATTGTAATCTGAAGTTACAAAATTGCTGCTACTTCGAAAGATGTTAAAGTGACGGCAATTGCCCTGTAAATGGATGTGTAAAATGATTTACTTACCAGTCTTCCGAGGTACCGATGCCAGTGGAAGCGCAATGCTTGCAGGCAGGTGTTAGGATGTGGGAATGATGCCGTAATGTGTTCGACGACGGGTTGATATTATCCCTGTCAGAGTCGAAAAGCCCTTACACTTAGGCCTATGGAGGTATAAGGGTTATCCTCCCTGGGACGGTTGGCTAACCTGTGATTGGACAAGGATTCCTAACGTGCGGGATTTTGTATATCATTGTGGCTTTTTTCAATAAAACTTCTACTTCTCCGCAAACTTAGAAATCCTTATCTCTGCATCACAAGGTATTAATTTAGCAAAAGTACCACAATCGTATATCCTTAAGCTTTATGCATAACTAAAGCATCTATTGTTCTCAAAAGCAAAAAGCCTGCTCAGTTAAATAAAGAAGATCCTAGTAGCTCAGCACAAATATTAAATGAAGTTATTTCAGCAGTAATTCAATTGTCAACAGATGATAATTTAGATAAACAAGAAGATTTAAATACTAAAACAAACGAGTACTATCAAGATGATGAAGAATATGATCCATTTAACCAGAGCAAATCGGTCCGTTTATAGTGATAGAAAGAATTGAATGATCTAGTTAGGAGTTTAGGTTTATCGAAAGACGCGTCTGAACTATTACCACCAGATTTGAAAAAAATCAATATGCTAGAAAAAAAACTAAAGCTAGCTTTTATCGAATAAAAGAACAGTTTCGAAAATTTTTTAAACAAGATAACTTGGTAAACTGTTTTAACGTTAGAGGATTAGTAGATTAATTAAAACCAAATTGATACAAAGATTAAGATTGGAGGTTGTTCATTGATTCTTTTACACAAAGTATGAAGGTCGTATTACTTCATAATTCAAACAAATTTGCACCAGTATCTATTACTCACTCTGTTAGTTTAAAAGTAGAATATTCCAATCAGAAAATTGTTTTAAAAAAAATAAAGTACGCAGAATATAACTGGAAAATTTGTGATGATCTCAAGACTATATCCATGTTATTGGGTCAACAATCAAGATATACGAAGTATTCTCATTTTCTGTATTTATGAGATAGCAGAAATAGAGAAAATCACTATAAAAAATTGAATGGCCTAAACGGAAACAATTGGAACCCGGGTCTCAAAACATACTGTACTAACTATTAGTAGAACCTACAAAAGTCTTTCTTCCGCCTCTTCATATTGAACTTGATTTAATGAAGCAGTTTGTAAAGGCATTGAACAAGAAAGAAGCATGTTTCCAATTATTGAAGTGTAAATTCCTTCATATATCGGATGGGAAATTGAGAGGAAAAATTTTCTTTCCAATGGACCTCAAAAACGTTCTTTTCTTAAGGATAAAAACTTTGTTAATGCAATAAATGATGATATGAAATCTGCTTGGCTAAGTTTCAGAATATAAAAATTTTTAGGCAATAATAAGAGTCATGATTACAAAGTCATTGTGGATAAACTAGTTAAAGGCTATAAAAAATTAGAAGGTTCAATAAATCTTTAGTTACATTTTGTTCATTTACATTTAGATTACTTTACCCCTCATCTTGGCAATTTCAGTGAAGAACGAAGTAAATCATGTAAAAAGAACGTCTGATTCTAAGAAAACGCGAAAACAAAGAATAACTTATCATAGTTCAGAAACTAATTATACTCAAATAGAATTGGAAGTTCTAAGGTTTAGCATATTTTTTTAAAGCACAACAACTGGAGCTTTTGCGTTTTCAACGATCGTATACTCGTATGATGAGAAAATATGAAATCAACTGGTAATTCTAACTCTAAGTAAAGACTATATCAATTTAGCGAGATATTTTTTGTATAATTGCTTTCATTGCACATTAGGATTTCGCATTTTTTTTAACTACACAAACCATATTATACAAAAAACTTGAATTTTCAACATTATCGCTGATTTCTGTAAAAACACGAACCAACTCCGTGATTCTCACACCATATTCGGACTCCGCGACCCTTAAAACATAACGCTCAGGTTCAAAATTTAATGAGTCTTATTATTTTCATTTACATTAACTGCAATAGTCACCGAAGTGTAGAGCATTGTAATGTAAAGTACTCCATTTACATGGTATACATGTATTACTCGCACATATACATACACCAATTACCCATCGAAATGCAGGGCTCTATCAGTTTTGTATGCGGATTAAGCATTTTTCGAATGTGGTAGACTGCGGTCAACTGTGATCACGGCGCTGCTATCTGTTGAACTTCTGTGAACGAATTTCCTTTGAAAATCATTTCAAATCGTAGGTTTCTAATATTTTTTTTGTAATTATTCAAGTTTTTTATCTGACATTATTTAATTTAATGCTAAGGAATGTTGCTAAGAGTACGTTAGAAGACATTTAGGAGCTGGAATTGGATAAAACTAAATAATTAACGATTTATTTTCATAACCTTGTCGGAGCCATCTTGGCGTTGAAGCGCGGCAAATTAATTCATAGTTTTTCAGTTATCTTTTTAACGTTTTCAATAAAAAAAATCAATTAAATAATTAAAATTGCGATCTAGCATACTGCATTATAGAATAAGTTTTAATTTGGAACCAAATTTTTACATGAAAACATCAATTCGCAAAAAAACAAGGAATTTACGATCATATGTACTTAGATAGGGAAAATCGGCCGCTCCGTGACTTCAGCCCAGCCTCAAGGCTAGACTTTACTTAAAGTTTTTGTCCTATTAGCTATAGCAGAAAGCACCTCAAAAAAGGTACGACGAAATAAATTTTAATTACTGCGTTTTATTATGTAAAATTATTTTATTCATAATACAAAACGTAGCAAGAATGTCGGCGGATAACTTTTTCCAGCGAAAAGGAGTCAAAAACAGATAATGTAATAAATAGCAAATCGATCACGAGACACGTTCATTTTAGCAGTATGAATGGTAGTGACAAAGGCACAGCCATGTCTCTATTCTGCTTAGATCACTATCTTCGATTTTATGCTTTTTAAAATTGAAATTTCTCTGCGATTATGACATAAACTTTATAGAAAAATCTTTGAAAACCTCATTGATCAGCAACGATGCGAAATGCCGATTACTATTGTGTCCTGAAGATCATTTATTTACGACAATAAAAATGAGTCACGTTCCGTGGACGACAATTTGAGTAAAAAGAATTTGTTTCCAAACGTTCGACTTTTTTTTATAAAGTTAGTACTACTATGAAGTTGCTGCCTAATTATAGTCATTTCCACATATGGAAATAGTTAAGCAAGTGGAATACAAAGTAATTACTGAGGCGCTAAATTATAAATGTAAATAATTTTTTGTATAAAAAATCGCGATATCCTGAGAACGGTCAAAGATGAAGCAAAAGTAATAAAATTTTTAAAAGTGTATCTATGAGGGGCTACACTATGTAGCTGAAAACTTATTACTTGATAAAACGAATGTTTTGAATTAATTCGTCACTAAATAATTAACTCTCTAACCGTTTATTTCAGATTTCTTCTTCTTTTGTCAGTTATTTACAATGTTTATGGCTGTGTTCATGTATCGACGTATTGACAGTTCGTGCATTCATTATTATAAAATCTAGTCGACTAAATTTATTTATTGTAATTTTTTTATTTATCGTACAAAAAGTCGTAAAATCTTATCAAAAGTGATGCCAAGTTTTTAAAAGATAAATTACAACTAAAATTACTAAATTTGTTTCGATTTGATCGTTTTTTTAATTTTAAGTTCTGACTTGATTCATGTTTATTTGTTGATATTTATGTGAAAGCCTCTTTCAAAAAAATTGTTTTTCTATCCAAAATTATCTTTATTATATATTATTAAGTACATGATTTTTCTAAGAATAAATAATCCACTGAATTCTAATAAACATAATATATTTAGGAATTGAAATCCTTGGCTGTGAATGATTTGAGAACTTTATCTCGTAAGGCTATTTTTGATGAGAATACCTTCCTTTGACAAAAGAACTTAAACCCAACTGATTTAATACCGAAACAGATTTTTTAAGTTAGCCTAAGAGTAGAGAAAATTTTAAGATTCGGAATGAAAGGCACAAAAATCGTATTGATATTGAATTAAATCCAAATAGACTGTAAAAATTGATTCCATACTTAATATACATCGTCCCTCATTCACATTTGCATGTGGCCAATATATTTTGCAATAACTGAAGGAAATTTTCAAAAAAATCACAATTTTTAAACAAATGCATTGTGCTATTATATATTGTACTCACAGTTTCTTTAAGGGACGATGTTCATACTAAAATAAAAGATCAGTTTGTGTAGTATATATGAAATGTTACGAATGTGTAGTATAGAAGAAGTCACTAATAAAATAAGAACCTGGAAGGACTTTGCTGCCGGGTTTCGGTTGAAGATCTCTTGCACGAATGACTTCAACTTCTAAATAACCTTTTTTGTGACTTAGAGCTAACTGTATATCTCCAAGTGAAGGAGCTCCAAGTACTTGTCTTCCAACCAACTGACCTGGTCCAAGGCCGTCAATGAACTCACTAAGTTGACCACCTTCTCCTGTCGATCTCAAACATGGAGACCAACTGCTGTTTTCAAAAAGAATATTATTAATAATGTTATTTTTGATATTATTATTTATTTTTCTTTATGAAATAATCAAGAATAAAATCAAATATTTTGTCAACATACATTCAAGTGTATAAAAACCTACATTGTGTTAATTTAAATCACTGTGAACAGTAATTTAGATTACTTTCTATAAAAATTAAAATAAACAGTTTTTCAACAAACAATATTAAGGACACGTTTTCTATAAATAATTAGACCTTCGACGAAAGCTTTTAAAAGAAAGAAAAAAATGATACGTTTTTGAAACATAAGCAATCAAAACTCATGTCAAGTGTTCCGTGATGGAAGAAGATGCTTTGAAAACTTTTCAACTAAAATTTTTTAGAGTACATTTCATAGTGTAAATAAAATGTAACAGATACATTCTAAGTTAGAGATGCTGTAATACATTTCAAATCATACAAAGCTTGTTTACCATACATGCAATCATGCTAAAAGCGAATTCATTCTTTTATAAATCTTAAATTGGTTAAATTTAGTGATTATTCAACGATAAAAATAAAAAAAAAATGATTTTTAAGATGTAATAAACTGAAAAAAATAATGTGAGACTTCATACTATAGTGTTGTATTATAAACATTTAAAATAGTTACAAGTATATCGTGAAATATATAACTTTAACATCCGGTATATGTCAAACATAGTGTCATTAAATGAAAACTTAGAATTTTTTATTTATGGTGACCATCTCAAAAATAGTAATCAAAGCATGAGTATTAAATGATGATCATTTTAGAATAAAAAGTTTCATGTGGAAAATGATGGAAAATCTGTATTTGGAATTTTAAGATTAGAGATTGACAAGCAATAATAAATGAAAATTTTGTAACTTTAAAATGCTATAACATTTGATGATAGCAGGTGCTGTCGCAACTGACACCAAAAGTTAAAAGTTCGAGTACACATAGCTTCATTAATACCTTCCCTATATCATAAGAGCAATTACGGACCACGGGAATAATTTTTTTTTATATTGAACGTCCAATCTCGAATGTTTAAATTCTAGGTTAGAATCAAAAACTTATAAAAGTCGTGATTATATTCCCCATATGATGTATTAGGATGTGAAATAATTTTTTCATTGCTCGAAATGTAAAAAGATCTGTTACAAACAGAAACTAGAGGCCTAGGTATGACAGGTTTATCCAAACTGCCAACTTTCCATTCAATATCCTTGATAAGTAAAAACTATTTTATGATCTATGTGACAATTCAAATAATAAATAATTTAAATAAAAATGGTATCAGTATATTTTGTCGTTGTTATCTGTAGAATAGAATGAGTTTGAAGATAATATCTTGCTTAGTTATCAAGATACTGATAAAAAAATTGATTTGCAATCCTCTTTTCTCATTATTACTTTTTTCGTGATAAAACAAAAACTGGTAGTTCAATTTCAATAAATACTTTATTAATACATCTTTCAAATGGAACTAATATTTTGCTTGGTTTTTGAATTATCATACAAACAAGCAAACAAACCTTGATATCTCTCTGATAATAAAAAAAAATTATTTTGCATCTTAAAACATTATATTTTTAATATGATTTTAAATTTTATAATTCTTTTTAGCTCAGCCCGAGCTTAAAAAATGAAAGATTAGAAACTCAGTATAAATAAGAATCATTCCGGTGGTTAAGAATTACTTATATGATACAGATAGGTCATTAATGGAGCCAAATGTCTAAAAGACCTCGGGAACACATTTCTGAAAAGACAGCACTACTCAAAATTCTTAAGTAAGTGCTGTAGAAACTTTCTAAGATTCTATTTTTTTCCTGCACAACCTTTTCCTCTAATCAAAGATGGAGTCACTAGCTAGTGATTCACTAAGCAAATCCTTAGTTATAACATGTCAATTTGGAGCATTCCTCACCTATGAGATAAGAGTTAATAACCAATTAGAATTTGGGGAGTCGTAGTTGTTTTATTTACTTATTGTCTTAATATTACTTGAATATCATAAATATAGAGTCTATGAGGTTTCGAGGTCTACAAAGATTATTATTGAGGGTATTGCAGTGTCGTTAACTAATTATTTTCAGAAATTACAATAGATTTTCTTTCTGAGACTGACCGTCATAAGTATGTGAGATGATCATCTTGCATGAAAGCACGGTCATGGTGCAATTGAATAAGAGGGAGACAATATTCTATGAGTTAACAATAAAGTAGCAATATTGACAATATTAGTTTTAATTGTAATAAAGTGATTTTTCCATGATATTAATCAAGTGATTATTTTTCCATTTCTCCTCACCAGTTCAGAACCCTAAATTTTTAAATTTTCTATCCAGTCTTTACGTCACACTCCATTCGAAAGATTTACCATGATTCATGTGTGTTTTCAATAAAGAAATTACACAAGTACGTATTCAGATAGTAATAACAAAAAGTATGTTATATACCTTCTGTCGATATTATTGTGTAAAAAAACTCGAATGTTTTGTGAGAACTTACTTCCCGTTTTCGTATAAGAAATCCTGATGAATAATCTGTGAATGACATTCTTTCTTTGAATCCAGCAATAAACAAATTAGTCCAGTGCATTCAGCGATTTGACTTTAAAAAAATGGAAATGGCTAAAAAATTGAGGAATTATTTAGGAAGTGACCAAAAACGGAGCTTCTTGGGGAAAAGCACTCCAATCCCGAAAAGAGTAGAAACAACCCCTTGGAAATTTGTTTTTTAAATATTTCGAGAACTATTAGGATGGGTATATCTGAAAATTCTACACCGAAAAGTACCTGCTATCGTGCATTAATTATAGAATAAGAATAAAAATTTTTTGGCTACATATTCTTGTAGAGGATGATAGAGAGAGTATTTGTGCAAATTTTTATTACTCAGAAACAATAATTACTATTGTTTATCGAGTGTCAAAGTTTGGCAAATAGCGTTTTTCCACCTTTCACCGCTTACGTAGGGAGAACGGTAGGAGATATAAAAAAAAAGTCTGCGAGAGCACCTGTCTATCGTGGACCGATAAAAATGAACAGCGCCGCGAAGGCGCGCTGAAAATCGAGCATTTCGGGCGCTCCGACAAAATATGCCGGTGAGCACGTTTTTAATTAACATAAAAAAAAACAAATATTTCCAATATCTAAAAAAATCTGGAAAAATTCTGGAATGTTTAGAATCGTTTTCTGAACATTTTCCAATTAAAATTGAAAAAAAAAAGAATTTTTCGATTTTTTATAGTATCTGGAGCGTCTTTTTTTTTAAATTTTTTTCGTGAACTTTGCACCTTTATAATTTCTTTGTTTATGAGCACATTTTATAGCCAATTTAAGAGCAGATAGAATTTTTCCTGCTCTATAAAATGGCTATCTCATTTTTTAAAAAAAGTCTTTTTTAGTACTGAACAAATTCAAATGTTGTTTTTGGATTTTTTCACCCTCATTTTGGGGGTGAAGTCATTTTTAATTGTTTATGAAAAAAAAGGTTTCCATAACAATCATGGTTATTGGAAAATTCATTTTTCATACTGAACGATGCATTTTCAAATGATGCATCCCGAAAAATTATAATCTTGTTTTTCAATTGTTTTTTAAACAATTTTTTTTACTTCATATATTTTTTCTAAGTTACTCCATTATTATTGCAAACTAGCTGTCACTTATTTATGTTCTCAAACAAAATTTTATAATTACTTATTAGTAATTATAAAATATTTTTTTACATTTCTTTCATTATTTCGAATTTGTAAATTATTTTTTATAGTTTTTTATGAAAAAATAAATTTTACGCACTTTTCTCGTGCGATTTCTACACGTTTTAATTGTCAAGGGGCGGGCCTTCTAGTGCGGGAGGTCACTTAAACGATGACTGTTGCAACGTGTAGAATGAAATATTTGAAAAACTCAAATATACTCTAGATTGAGTAAAAATTGTTGAAAAAAGACGTACAATGTACCAAATCGCATGAGAAAAGTGCTTATTCTATAATTAATGCACGATGAATTCACACGGCTACTAGACTATAAGACGAATGTATGCATTCATTAAAAAAAAAAACCGAAGAAAATAATTCATTTTGAATATTGTTGATTTGTAGATTTAAATAATTGGCGTTTGATGATTTTAGGACTTTTTGTAATTTCATCATTGGGGTTATTTATGTTTGGCGCACATTTTTGTACAGCCCAGAAAGAGGGGGCTGTTTTTGATGAGATTTCACCATTTTTTGTACATATCAACTGGAAAGGAATATTAAAAAAAATAAATCTGTTAGTGAGAGAACTTCATAGCAATTAAAAACTCTGATCACCAACTTGATAAAAAAAAACGTATGATTGCTCCATGAATAAACTCTCATTTTACTCAATTTTTTCAATTTCGTATATTATGAATAAAGCAATGATAATACTTCATAGTATGCTTAATCGAAAGTCAACGAGCGCTTCGCGATCAAATTCTTAATTTCAGCCCATGTTTATGTTATAATAAGAAAAAAATTGTAAATTAAAAAATCATAACCTGCAAAAATCATCTTATAATTTGTATAAAGACACGGTAGTGCCTCGTCGTGACATAAGGGCTAAATGGCGGCAATTTATGTTTGGCGCACAAGACACTACCGTATCTCTTGATGTAGGAAAATAAAAAAAAATAAATGAAAGTAATAAATAAAATGTAATAATATATTTTTAAGGGTAAAAAAGTTTTCAGAAAAAATCACCAAGTGTTAACGATTACTTGGTGTATTAACTTATTTTAAAAAATATATTCCGTAAGTTATATTATTTATAATAAAAAAAATGTTCGAAAAACAATGTAAATAGAAATTTATGAATTTTTAAATAATGTGATCGAGAAAAGCACTTAAAATTATCCAGAAATACTCAGTTTGAAATTCATAAATTTTATAAATAATATTTTTTTTATAAATAATTAAAAAGTAAAGTTACGATGAAGTTGAAAGGAAAATAAAAGAAAGAATGTATTACAGAACTTATCAAATAATATGTACATTCAAACAAATTTTATGAAATTGTTTTTTTCAGCAATTGTTTATAAAAATTGTTTATAAATATTGCTGAAAAAGAATCTAAAAAATTTTTTTATCTTCTCCAAATGGAGTTAGAACAGTTTGCTGCTGATAATTTTTCAAAGTATTAATATTTTCAGCCTTTTCAGAAAAAAGAGAAAAAAAGACGTTTACGACGGTATAAAAAATCGAAAAAATTAATTATTTTCAAAATTCCAACGGCGAAAACGATTCTGAACATCCCATAATTTTTTCAAATAATTAATTAAAAAGGCGCTCCACGGCACATGGAAAATTCAATTCTGTACAAAAAGGTATCTACATTTTTTTTCGAAAAAACGAACGGTTCACGCTGTGTAAGCAGTGAAAGGTCAAAAAATGCACTTTGCCAAATTCTAATTATTGAAAAATAATACTAAAAATCATTTCCAAACAATGACATTTGGCACAAATGCTCTTCTCATTAACCTCTATGAAAAACCGCTATCAAAAAACTTTTTTAACCCTTCTAAAATTAATGCAAAGGGAATTCGCACTGCTCTTGGACTACATTGAGAAAAAAATTTACTTCATACAAAAAATATTTCATTCGACTATTAACATCGAAATTTCAAATAGTCGCAAAAAATATTTCTTCGAAATTATGAATATTTGATTGAAATCATTTTATTTACTCAAATGAATAAAATGTCATTTGTTTTCATTCTTGTCGTAACCTTGAAAATTTGTTTTCGAACTTGTCGCAACATTGAAACAAAAGACAAAATATATTTTTGATAACACTACTATTAGTCTGAATAAAATATTATCTTGAGAATATTCGAAGTTTCTTTTATTGATTGAATAAAAAATTCTTTCATTTAACGAAATTTTTTTCTCAGTGTACTAATGCAGTATCCCACTTTACGTAGACAAATGGTATTCACATGGGCCAAGTCGTGAAATTAAGCAAATTAAGATTAAAAAATTGAAACTGTTAAATTAATATGGTTGGGATAAATATATGTTAATTTTCATTCAAATGACATGTCTTTCTACTATCAATGTTTAAATTTTACTTACAACTAGGTAATTTTGGTAACAATCGATACAAATTTTAACTATTTTCTGAACTCTTGCGAAATTCTTCTGGTATTCCTACAAAACTTTAGAAATATTTCTCTGCATATTTCTAGTAAAACTTTTTTTGAACGGTACTATATGAAAAAAAAATATTAATTTTAAATAGAATTGATATTTTATATTTATACTTATTTTTTTGACATTTAATATGGATATGTTAACCTTATGAGTATGAAAATTGTGCGTCGGGAGTACTCCTACTGAAAATAAATCGTAAAAGAAACTGTCTTATGCGCAAATTTCATCAAATACGATTCTTAAGTAAAATTAGTTTTATATTTCTTCCAATAATGTTATTTCTTATGTTATTATTATCGTCATAAATATTCACATTTACAAAAAGTCCTCTCATCCAGTTGGTAAGAGCCCTATTTTGAAAGTGCAAGATAAAAAGCTCCATTTTGTATTATGGTTGTAAAGAAAGAAGCAAAATGAAACGTCAATCATCAAATCAAGAAAGACTGAGAATAGTCCACAAAGCAATCACATATTGGTGTATGAGAATACATGAAAATTATCTTAGTTAAGTAAGATAATATAGGATTCAATATCACACTTTTAGAATTTTTATGTCGTGTATAAATTGTAATAACGCCGATATAGGGCAATGTCATCCTGAGTATACGTATAGTTGTGAAAGTTGATTAAAAAATTAGGATATTTTATATTAATTCTTGTAATATTACAGCAATAAATGATGGAATTATCGATAGTTACACTGAGAAAATTTTTCTTGAAAATTAAATATCATGTGTAGATAAAATTTACCAAGCATGTTTAGTGAAATCTCCCCAAAAAAAAGAACCTCTAATTTTCCGACGACATATGCCTACGATTCGGATAACTATCAATGAACACGTAAGCGTAATCTTGTTTCTACACGCAGAGAAATGTATAGTAAAATTCAGGGTAATTTTTAGTATACATTTCTCTGCGTGTACTCGAGAAAATCCCATACAGTTATAAAACTGGCCTCAACTCCCATAATCGACAAAAAAAATCATTCTCACTAAATTAGTGATGAAAGCACAAGTAATAGTGTTTCTGACAGCGAATAATTTTCTAAGATACATAAGATGTGTAAAAAAAAAAATCTACAGTAGAAAATTTTACTAAAAATATCCTTAAAACATGTTTAAATTGAAACAAAAATTTTAAAGTAAAATTTACTATGAATTGCTTGGTAAAATTTACTCAAAAACCGACAATAAAGTAGCTTTATCCAACTGCTTGGTAAATTTTATCTACACATTATACTTAATTTTTTGAGAAAAATTTTTTCAGTGTACGTTAATTCATAACGGCAGATACATGTATTTAGGATCGATTACTTTTATACCACGAAATAATTAATATGATGGTAAAAGCTGTCCCTGAATGACTCAGTTATCTGAGAGTCGTTGCTTAGTTCCATAGGTGTATTTCCTATCTTCTTTTTTTAGTGTATGTTAATTTATATCCTCTCAGATTTAATTGATATTCAATGTGTATGCTTTTTCGTTGTCTGCAAATATGAAAAAGTCTTTTTAATGCTAATTAAATAAGTAGCAACATATTTGCACAGTTAATGGTGACATAGTGATACCTTTTTGAGTGCTAATTTAAAATAAATCAAACCAAACAAAAGACAATATCATATAGTAAAATAGTTATTAATGTCGGATAGAAGATAATTAAACAACAAATATATGGAAAATATGCATAACAGATAGATTAAAAGTAAGTGAAGAAAGGTAAAGAAAGAGATAGAGAATGAGAGGGATGCATTCATTTTATTAAATTGTTAATAACATGATCATTTGAAGGTTAAAATTATTTTGAATTCAAATATTTCAACTTATGTTTTATATCAATTTAAATTTAATTTTTGCAATTTGTCTTCAATATTGAAGACGTTACTTACGAGCTTGCTTCAGAACTAGAAATCGAGTTAAGTGATCCCGCCGTGTCACTGACAACAGACCCGATGTATTTGCATCCTCCGGAACGTTGATACATCGGCATCACCTCTTGCGAACGTTGAAAGCTATTCGGTGTGCTGTTCCGTTTCCGGCTGGCGAAGCCGGAGCTCCTTGAAGCCATGTTCACGCCAGTCATGGTGCATTCTGCGTTGTAAACCAAACAAGAAATACCTCGATTTTGACTATTCTTTAAAAATTTATCCATCTGTTAGATTCTGCACTTTTATCTTCAAATTCCATTTAAACTTGTCATAAATTTTCATAGAATTTATATCAATAGTCGTAATTGAATGTTATTATTTAATTTATAATCTGAGATATTTTTCTATTGTTCTTTAACTTCCTCCCATTCTCTATCCATATCAGCTATGAAATCTTTGGTAAAAATAATGAGTTTAAGATCACCTTGTGTCCTGACGATAAACCTCCCATTTATTAAACCCCGTAATATTTTCATCTCTTAGGTTTTGTTATTTATAACGAATTGTAATTGTTATAAATAATATACAATTGTTTCATGCCTTTAAATCATTTACAACAATATTTTATTGATATTCATCGAATATAATTATAGTAAGAACTATTCTATAACTTAAAAGCATTTTTAATTATTTATAACAAATTAAAATTATTATAAATGGTTCAGAATTGTTTAAAGTTATGTGAATTTACTAGCAACCATATTATAATGATACTAAGTTCAGTTTAGAACAATATTGATCACTCAATGTGTAGAATTTATTTCAAGTGACTTTTTCACTAAACTTATTTTACAGTTTGTTTATTAGGAAAAAAAATAGTTAAACTAACTTTGCTTAAACTTATTCCAGATCTTTACATTGTATTATCTTTCGAATGGAATTTGTCAAGAGTCGATAATGTCATAGTTCTCGAAATATCGAAAACGAAAAAATAATCTGACATACGTACCTCCAATTACACGTTAGTATATAGGTATATTTTTAAATTTTTTGATATGCTTCAAAATCGACCACATTACTATAATTTTCTGATAGAAGGTAAATAATACGGAAATGTATTGTGCGCACGAATATTAATTTTTTAATCAGTGAAAAAAAAATCACTCATTTTTTTGATTATTAGCTAACTTCATATATTCATGTAAGTTTATAGATAGGATGATATCATTTTCGACTCTGCTTTCTGCTTACGTCTACTTTTTCAAATAATGTTGTGTTATTTTTAATCCCTGTTAACTATGAAACGCTTTGATTATACATTTTTGCGATTTTCTGTGTAACTTTTGCTATAAATTTTTTGTGTAGATACTCATTTTAACAATGACAATCATGATACTGATGTTGAAAAATGAAAGATGATAATATTAATAAAACTAAAAAAGAGTTTCTTTCTATCAGCCAAGATTTAGTTATAGTTAACACATCCCATACTTGAATATGTCAAAATGAATATTTACTTACTAGAAATAAGTTATATATTTGAGCTTTCTAGTTAAGAGAAGTATTTATTTGGTTATATTTAAAAAAAAATATAAGTTCAATTAAGTAATTATGAATCTGAATGCGCTTAATATAAATTGATAATTATATTAATAGTACTCGAATCAAATTCTTATTTGTATACATATTCGAAGAAAAAAATCAAGAAATTTCGAATAATTGTCACAATTAATTTGATTTCATCGATTTTTGTTACTCTTATATGTGCCATAGAGTTGTAGCTCGATCTTTTCATTTTTTATGTTCAAATAAAATTCGTTTATCAAAAGATTGAAAGCTACAACCAAGAACTACGGCGATCGAACCTACGACCAATAAAAACGCACACGACTTAATCTAACGCTTTAACCCGCTCAGCTATTTCGATGATAATTTTTTGTTACAAACATATGTATTTACATACATACATGCTTATCATAGTGAGTATTTGTATACTTTCTCTACATAGATATGCATATGTATCACCTTCATTGAACATGAACGTTTAAATAAAAGGTAATAAAAGTAATTACAATATTAATTGCTTAAGGCAGTTGTTTCACGCAGGTACCGTCGCTAGATCGGGTTTATTCCCCTGTAGTAATAAAATTAATATTTTTTATGGGATGTATTAGAAAATTGTTCCAAAATATGAAATATTTCATTTTAGAGTTTTTGATATTAAAATAAACCTAAAATCCAAAATTAATCTTAATGCAACATTGAAAAAATTTTAAAATCTGTACTTTAGTTATGCTACGTGATTGAAACACACATTGTGCTTATTTCGTATATGTACACACGTACACAGCCGTACATTTATTTGTGACGAGGATTTGACAACGTCGCATTTTAGTTGCCTATTTAACCTATACCTATATGTATACTATCATTCGGTGAGCATTTAAGTTTCTAAGCTTTCTTAGCAAGTGATAATATTTTGAAGTGTTTTTTATAAAGAAAAAGTCATGTTAGATCGATTACGGTTAAAGGAAAGATTTATCAAACAAAAAGTGCTTGATAAACAAATGAAAATAATACCAGCTCGTCGTAAAAGCAAAAATGATCCATTTGGAAGTGGTGCTTCAAAGTCTAACCTCTGTCAAGGAAGCCGCATCGTTGATTTAGAAGTGTTGAGTAGAAATTTGAAATATGTTGTAGCTCTAAAGAACCGATTTTCTTGAAAGATAAAGTGGATGAGAAACGTTTAGAATTGAATTCAATTTTTACGATTAACCCATTACTTACTGTTATCCTATTTTTAGAACACTATATTGCATATTTTTTTTTGAAGTATGTATATATTTTATCCATTATTTGTGATTAAATTTGTATTAATACACAATTTCTCTATTTAAATATATTTTTTTGGAATGGAAATATATCTACTTCACTTTAGTATATAATTTTTAAATTGACAAATTTTGGCGCGTTAAAAATAGTATTACTTTTTATTTTATCTAGTGTACAAGAAAAAAAACTTTTCACTTCAAAATACCTAAAAACAATAACTTATAAATGAGCCGTACTATAAATATGACACTGGGAATACGTGTGTACTATTTGACGCTGAAACGCGTTCAATCCTGTGCACGAGCAGGTTCTAACGTTTCACTTGTTCGATTTGAGTCGGTCTTGTGTTTACATTAGTTGATAGTTAGACGCTGCGAAACACAGTTCATTGTGGTTCATTCGTGATTTATAAATGAAACATACAAATAAAAAGTTGTGCGTGAATTACATATAAGATTATACAGGTAAGTAAAAATATTACGACTTTGTTTTATTTCAAATGTTGTAAAATATAGCTACCTAGTTGTAATTTGATGAGTGTATTTATTTACTTTTTTAAATATTTTAGATCATGGATCCTGTAAAAAAAAGGTACAAAAGGGCTTTGAAGGTATCCGAAATTGCAGACTATCTAGAAGATATCGAGAATTCTAGTGACGAAGATTTGAATGACATGGAAGACACTATATTGCCTCCAGAGGATGTTGATGAAATGACTGATATGGAAGAGGGCCCTGATGATATGGGAGTTGTACCGGTGTCAGATGTGGCTGGTCAAGTGGAATTCTCATGTACGATTGATAACGTCGAGGAACAATCCAATCAAGCCGCATCGAGAACAAACAAGGACATTATTTGGCGTAAGTGTAACCCAGTTTATACGGAGCTCCAAAGTGAATCTAACACTGCAAATCAATGCTTGGAAAACATGATTACAGAGTTAGAAGGAAAATCAGCTGTAGAGATATTTGAACATTTATTATGTGACGAGATCCTACAGTACATTGTGCATGAAACAGTTATCTACGCCAAAAATTATAAAAATGATTTGAATTTTAATTTAAACATAGACGAGTTAAAAGTTATTATATGAATTTTGATTTTTTCTTCTTATCATCACTTGCCTCAAAGCAAACTTTATTGGTGTAGAGATGAAGACGTACACATTCCATTTGTCGAAAAAGCAATGTTAGAGATCGTATTAATATAATAAAATCTTATTTGCATTTCAATGACAACTCAAGAATTGATAACACTGATAAAGCTTTCAAAATTCGTCCATTTATCAATAAAGCCAATTAATCATTTCGAAAGTTTGGGATATTTGACTCTAATTTAGCTGTAGATGAAATGATTATCAAATACTTTGGCCATCATGGAATACAACAATTTATAAAAAGGAAACCGGTGAGGTTTGGATACAAGCTTTGGGCCCTTTGTGGAGTGAAACCTCTAGTGAAAACTAATAGATATTCTAAGACAGAAAAGACCAAAGTAGCCGTAAATCAGCCAAGACTTATTCATAATTATAATAAAAATATGGAAGAGTCGATAAACATGACTGGCTGATCTCCGAGTATCCAATCCGTTTCAGAGGACAGAAATGGTACTGGCCTCTAGTTATTAGAATTTTGGATATGTATCTAGTAAACGCATGGATTATTTACAACTAAGTAAATAAAGACGAAACCATCCCTCTGCTGGATTTTAGACGAACTTTTTGTCAAAAATGTGATAAAACTTTTTGTAGCGATTGTTTCATACCATATTATACTAAATAAGCATATATTATTGTTTTCAAAAAGTTTATAATGATAGTTTTAAAAATAAAGTTGATTTTCTAATAATAGTAAAATTTTATCATTTCTGACCAGAAACTCCCATTGTCATATTTATAGGACAGGTTGGTACAACAAACATATATATATTTTTTAAAATGTTACTTTATATTACTTTTTCTTAATGTATTAAGATCTCCATTTAAACACAAAAATTACAATTATTTCAATGCTTGGGAAGTAATGGGTTAATTGTAAAAAATGTTGTATACATACGCAAGTATCGTCAGAAAAACGTCATGTCATAAACGATGCTTCAAAACACCCCTCGCGGTTTCTAGGAGCTGCAATTCTACAGTTAAAAAATCGTTAAAACTCGGTTAAATTTAAGTTAAATTCCAGTTATTTTCTGGTGAGAAAATGGTTAAAAACAGGTTAAATTATCGAACCGAAATTCAACCGTTTTTCCTCGGTTTTTTAAACTGATATTTAACTTGTTTTTACAAATATTTTTTTGCAGTTAAATACGCGAGATCTATTTTTATTATTTAACCAATATTTAACCGGTTTTTAACCAATATTCAACCGTTATATACGTCCAGATATATGAAAA